AAGACCACATTATAATTCAGTATTCAAATGAATGCAAACGACTAATCACAATTCAGTCAGTATACAAAATACAATGAAGTCATCACTGTCAGTTAGATTTTAGTTAACATTCTACAGTCAGGGGGTGGCGGATACTAATTATTGTTACTTGTTTAAATAGCAGACTTGAGGCTCAAATTAAAAAAAAAACAGGAAATGGTTTTAAGCAGATCAAGATCCAATGCAAAAAAAATCATAACTAGATTCTTACATTTTCCAAAGAATCCCAAACACACACACACACACACACACACACACACACACATTTTTACAAATAAAGCTGAAATATATATATTTGATAAACTCTACACAAAATTAGAAATTTTACTTTTGCAACAAAGTGAAACCAGTTTAAAGGGGCTAAATGTACAAACTTTCTATTACCAATATGTAAACGGTACGGAAGCCCTGAACCGCAACGTAAAAAAAAAAAAAAAAAAAAATCTAGCGCTTCGAGATTAAAGTTGAAACGTTACGATAATACAGTCTTCCACAGAAGTGTGTGTATTCATAACAATGCTTGGTCCACTGGCTCAGAGTGCGTGCGTGTGTGAAAAGAAATGCACTTGTGAAGTCGAACTGCCATTGATCAACACAAAATAGTAGCTTTTTACTTTTATCTGGGCTTTGTACAAAATTCTACACAGGTGCTAATCTACCAACAATAATTACCATGACGTTGCCTATAGACGAGCGCACAGACTCCGCCGGAGTAGGGATAACAATCTGGACTAAACTTTATGTGGCAGTGTTTTTGAGGTGTTTTCGTTCTCGTCTAGGCATCATCTGGGTCGAAAACACAACAGTGACCGGTCTGTCTCCCTCTTCACCATAAATACGTTCAGGATACATTTTAAGTGCATCATTCTGTATCCAATCATTTGGCCAGATCCTGTGATTTCCTCAGATTTAATAACCACTAATGGTGGTTGAGGAGAGATTCTCTGATATGATTGAAGCGCTTTGAGTGTAGGCCTAGTAGACACATGAAAGTGCTATATAAATGCCTCATTCATTCATACATACATATATACATACAGCTGGATATCTCCTTCCAGTCTGAAAAGTGTTTTCTGGGTTGGTTTTCCTATAGGCTAAAGTCTATAAAGTCAGTATATTTTCTGACGTCCTATAATGGTAGCCTAATGCTGGTAGATTGGCACTTGTTGAATTTACTTTTGTTGAAAAAAAAAAAAAAAACACACACACAGTGTGAAACACTCGCCTATTCACCATTATGAATGCCTGTGTGTGCGGCAATTTGAAACAATGGCAAGCATAAACGCAACTTCTACGGAAGAATTCTACTTTAATCTTGAAATGTTTCAACTTAAATTTTAATTTCTCTAGATTTTTTCAGGGCTTCCATAAAACCGCTTGTAATGAAACTTAAAAAAAGAGAGACGATCCCAACTTCCTAGGATCTAGTTTGTATAGCAAATGAAACCTGTAATATTTTCTGTATAGAGTTTTGATATAGGCCTATTCATATTTATATATTTATTTCAGTTCAGCACTGTTTTATTGCCAGTGTTTTGTTTCTTTTTAATCAAAAAATATCGGTTGAATTATCGGTTATCGGCATGCACGGTCAAACCTAAATATCGGTATCGGTAAAATCCACTATCGGTTGACCTCTACTATTCACCCTGGGGCCTATACCATGAAGCCGGTTTAGGTGGCTAGCCAGGTACGTTTCAGTTTAGTTTGCGCCAACTCTGGGTTTGGGGCACCATGAAAGTGGTTTGGCTTTTAGCAGTGTTCACCGCCATAGTAACTTGCGCTCCACAGCTAACCTGGTCCAGGGCAGGTAATGTTCCAGGTAAGAGGTTGCAAAATGAACTTGGACCAATCAGCTGTGAGCAAAGTGACACATGTCTGACACGATAAAGTCACTCTTTATTATTACGCAGATTTTAAATAAGTATATAAAGATAATATAAATACACTTTAGAATCAATAAATTAAGCTATAAAATGACTAAATGTGAGCTTAAATGTTCAATTCTCAAAAATGAGCTTCCGCTCTTTGAAAGACCAGCAGCCGCAACTGCTGTAGACACAGGACAACAATTGTGTGACAAATTGTGATGCAAAAAATATTAAATCTATTCTAAAACATTTAAGTCAATGTTAAGTGTGGGGTCTGGGGAGACCAAGAGAGAAGGGGAATAAAAACAAGAGCATGAGTGTGTTAAGACAGATGTGAGTGAAATAGCGAAGAAACTCCCAAAGGCCTGCCTGTCTGTCACTAGACAAGGGAACACCTGAGTAATGGGCTGAGAAGGACCAGTCCTAACATCCCGCTCCCTCTCCAGCTTCTCTGCAAAGACAACAACATTATTCACACAAACTAATACAATAATTGCCCGACAGCCTTGACCACTGAGACTTCCCCTGCATGCTAATGGACCCACGGGTAGACAAACCCCACACACATAAACACAGCAGCAATGCCAACCTCCTCCCGGTCTGCAGACTGGCATCAGTGAACCGGGAAAGCCCGACACATCTGCAGCAGGCTCAGACATCCAGAATCTTTCAAAGGTGGATAACAATCATAACCCGCTGGCATCAATCCATCCATCCAACTTTTCCACGCCAGCTGGCGTGTGCATGCACACACATACAAACAAAAATACACACATACTCACATGCTTAGATCAGTCTATGGGGCATCTATTCAACCCCAAATAAAAAGAGCTTCCAAAAATTACACAAGCAATCACAATTTGTGTTATGTTGAATATTAAAGCTGTTTTTCCTCTTTGTCGCCATCTCTGTTCGAAATCTGCAATTGCAGTCTTTCGCGGAATTATCCACTTTACGTGAGTTGTACTTCAACACCCTCAACACTGCACAGCGCGGATGAACACAATGTTCGAGGAGATTGTGAGGCTGTCAAAATTGACAAAAAAATATTTTTCGATGAATGGTTTTTTAAAAATGTGGGCCACGAATTGATTTTTTTTTTTAATATTCAGGGCTCGCGTTGCTGCGTCTTCTCTCTCTGCACAAGGCAAAAGTCGATACACACTCGCGTTTAGGAGTCGGGACATGAGTCATGACAAGATATTCGCTTGCATAATCGGGCCAGCATTGCATCGTAACTAACGTTTATCATTTTCATGTCTTTTTAAGTTTTACAAGTTTAGCAATTTTAAACTATCCAGTGCTCACGCATTCTCAGAGATGTTTTTTACTGCATGCAGATACAGTAGGCTAAAGCCTAAATCCGCCTCACAAACAACTCGCCAGTAACAAAAGTTCTTTTTCGTGGATTGTATCACTTTAACGGTTAAAAACACGCAAAAATCTGTCAACTCTGTTCTTGGTGAGTAACCTCGTAAAGACAGTTGGTTTTGTCTTAAATAAGCATAAAATGCACGTGACGGAGACTATAATGAAACAGTAATGGATCTGTGCATTAGTTCTTAAAGTGAACGCAGACATATGTCTGTCATTAATTTTGTTGTCAAAACAACATCATATAGCATTAATTGTAAGGAATCAGAATTCAAATTTAGTCAGGACTACAAGACTATCCAGTGCTATTTTACATTGGATTGTTTCTGTATAGTATTTCTGACATACCCAAAAACTTTTCTTTTTATGTCTCTTTTTATGTTTTATGTTTTTTTTTTCTTTTTATGTATCTTATTATATTTTATGTATGTTATTTGTGTCTTTATTCTATAGTATTTATTTATTTATTTTTCAATTTAATTCAAATATTGAAATCAAGCTTCCATGTAAAAAAAAATAAATTCCACATTGTAAAAACAACCATTTAGGTGAGATCAATGTAATAGAAAATTGACTAAAAAATAACAGATATTTATTTATATATCTATCTTAAACTTAAAATAACTTGATCCTGTTTGATCAAGGCATGCAACTTGTCCAATTTTCACCATCAATTTTGCATCTTGCATCAAAATCATGTCCATTCATTGTGTGCATTTAGTGTATATTGTAACTAAAATAAAGAGTTTTAAATACAGGTTTGTGGCTATTCATTTTTTTTTTTTTTTTTTGTATTAATTAACCACTTGAGAAGAAGAAATTAACCCTTTTTATTCCTATATACATTATATATATATATATATATATATATATATATATATACCCCCATCTTTCATTGTCATTGTGTTATTGTCTGTAAATACATTTTATTCCTTGTAACGTTTGTAACTGTAACATAGTTTCCACTTATTAAAATAACTTAATTTGTCTTAATATATATATATATATATATATATATATATATATATATATATATATGTGAAGAGTTCAGATGCAAAAGCCTCTAAATGCCATTTGAAATTTTCTTCTTTAATGATGATTTTTATCAAACTTGTATATTTAAGTTCAGTAATTTCACTTAAATAACAATTAATAGGTAATTATCATTGCCATTTAAGTGAAATTACTGAACTTAAATATACAAGTTTGATAAAAATCATCATTAAAGAAGAAAATTTCAAATGGCATTTAGAGGCTTTTGCATCTGAACTCTTCATACTTAAACATTAAATATTTAATCTTTAATCAAAATAACTTCCCCTCAAACCACAATGATCCAATCAATTCCCAGTGGACAACATTAAGTTCCGCCCTATATTTTTTCCTTGTTCGAGAAGCCATTTCACTCCCATATACATCAAAATAGGATACATCACAATTTCTGTTTCATGCTGACTTTAAATTAAGTTTTATGAAACAAAGTTCGGGAGGAGCACGTTCAGGCAGTCAGCCTTCCTTCACCTCTGTCCCATGACAGTTTCATCCCTCCACCACCCAATCACCTTACTCTCGTCTGGTTTCAATCCCAGTAAAGGGGGGAGTACTCTGGGTTCAGACCAAAATTAGAGCCCTCTCCCAGACAGCACACCAAATACGCATAAATTACTACATCTGATTTCGTATACATGTGAACTTGTGAAAACAGGATTGTCTTACCTCTAGAGCTGCAGCTCGCTTCTTCAAAAAACTTTCTATATTGCGAGCTGCCGATTCCACAAGCTGTGCTGCATTATTTGTTTTCACAGTGAATAAATTCTGATTATCCATGAAGATCTGTAATAATGGAGAGAAAAGGGCACTCATTAGAAACTCTCGTGGTAATGAGATGAAGGTTTACCGGTAATGATTATGTTGATAATTAAGCAGGCTTTTATTAAGGCTCAACTCTCACTCATAATTTGTTTGGATAAATGCACATAAAAGTATACATCAATAGGTGTGTGTGTACCTGTTTTTCTATCCCGGTGGGGACATAAACCTGAATGCACACAGACTCATGGGGACTTGTGTCATTGTGGAGACCTAAATGGAGGTCCCCATGGGTAAACACTCTTATAAATCTTTTTTTTTTTTTTTTTTTTTTTGTGGAAAATGTAAAAATTCAGAACGTTTCCTGTGATATAGGCTTAGTGTAAGTGGATAGAATATACTGTACAGTATGAAAATCATAATCCCCACAAAGATAGTAAACTAGACACACAGTGTGTGTGACCTCTAACCTGTTTTAGATTTTTCCCAGCGCTGGCTGTGTCTGCTAGACCAACCAGCTCCTGCTGCAGTTTATCGACCCATTCTTTTATCCTGCAAACACAAACACCCAAATTAAATATTTCAACTGAACTATACATACCTGGGGTCAGAGAATGTGATGGGAAGGTTTTTATGAAATAACTAAATCAGTCACGAAGGCAGCAATATGTGAGTCATAGTAAGTTGAAATGTAAATGTGATCGCATAACAGGTGCTTTTATGCACATTTTAAAAATAGCATTAATGAGTTATATAAATGGCTAAATAGTCAGTTAGCACATTGTAAGCTACTCAAGATGAATAACCTTGTGAAAGCTCACAAACCCTGTCCTTCAGAGGAAACACATTTAAGACATAAAGAGGTTTACCTCAAATATGGTTTTATAGAAAAACTGTTTTTCATATGGTTTTGTAAATGTTGTGCTTTTATTTTGAAGTTTCAGTGGCCTTGCCTGATTTTTTTAAACGTAATAGATTGCTAATTTCTTTGCTCAAGACACTGATAATCGACCAAGCAAGGCAATGCAGAAAATTTCACAACAAACTTACCGAACATACCAAACATTACAGACAAAGGACAGAAACAGCTAGAGGGTTATACAAACACAACAAAGTTGTGACTTAATGGCACTTGCACCTGGAAACACTTACAAATACAAAATAAGAACATGTTGCAAGGACTTCAAAATAAAAGCACAATGCTACAAATACAAGGCAAACAAAGCCTGCAATCCCTGCAACCCCAGCAAATGTTTATATTTTGAGAAATTATGAAGGTGAGATGTTAATCTTGGAAACTGTTAATGGTTGAATATCTTTTGTAAATAAGTCAAAATTTTGAGAAGTCACTAATGCTCTCCATGGTTACATAACATCCGATTCATGTTAATAATTAATGTTACTGTAACCATACTTTGATGGGAACTCTCTTTCTTCATGATATTACTTGACACTGCAGGATGAATTTGTGGACATCAAGATGAAATCACATCTTTCCTGGCCTCTGCGATGACAGATCTAAAATTATCCAGACCGTTATGAGAAACTCAGGAGGTGTGTGTGAAGTGTGAAGTCAGTTAACTGGAGGTTTCTTGAACTCTGTATTTCTGATGCTTTGACATTGTTCATTAGATTCCCAATACACAGTTTAGATGTCTGCCTAATCCAGGGGTAGGCAAGCTCTTACATGTAAAACACTATATGTTATGAATCTTACACGAAATTCAACTTCATCACAGTATGTAGTTTGGCTGTTTTTAGTTTTTTTTTTTTTTTTTGTAGCTTGTTACCGAATCAAACTCAAAATATTTTAAACTTTACCAGCTTGATAGTGAGTACTATCAACCATGTTAGTTGTTTATATTAATAATAATAAAAGTTAAGCAATTTCCCAGATAGCAAACTGACATTGAATCAACGTGGAAACATGACATCGAAACAACGTTGATCTGACATTAGGCTTGTTTGAGATGCGCCTCGCCTCGCCTCGCCTGCATTGTAGTCGAGAGTAGGCGGCTGCAGTAAGAGGAGGAGTGAAAAAAGCGCAATAAAGCCGGACAAATCTCGGTTCTCGCAGTGAATCAGACAACTGTGAGATCAAAGGCGGATATCGCGGGATTAACGGGATTCACGCTCGTGCACGTGTTGCTAATAAACTGGATGTGATTTAAGTTCTGTTGCTTTTATATAAAAATAAATATAATGTAAATAAAACCCAAAGTACTTGTTATTTAATTACATTCCAAATAGCCTATGGTTTATCAATCTTTTTTTCTTTAATACAGACGTGTTTTTATATAGCCTATTGTTTTAACAAAAATGAAATATAACCCATATGGCACTGTCAGAGAGTTTATTCACCCATATGTATACACATAAAACATGATATCAGTTTTAAAATCAAACATTTTAAAAGAGAACAATTCATCTGTTGTTCTTTTATTTTTATTTTTATTTATTTTACTTTTTTATTAGAATGCAAGTTACAAACATAGCCTACCTACAAGCACCACAATTCGTGAAACAAATAGGCCTATTATACAGCGACAAATACATAAACATCAGAATAAAATTAATAATAAAATAAATAAATCAATCAAAATAAGCTTAGCTTAAATAGACAGACTTACAAACTTCATCATCTATAAAATGAGAGCTATTTTTCACTTGAACATTTTAGAGTAGGCCTAGTATATTTGAGTTACTGACTATAGCTTTCTTATTTTTAACCCGTTTAAGAGATTCACAATATAGATCAGTTTCAATTTGAAAAAAATAAATAAATAAAACATGGCCTTGATTTGGAGAATTTAGCTTAATGAATATGGAATTTACCTTCATCACTGTTGTTTAAACCAATGAGCATTAAGCTGTGTCGTCAGCAAGTCGTTTCCCATCATGCTTTTGATCAGCGCAGTTGGTGGAGAGCAACTGCGCGCGACTGCAGAATCCGACCCTTCCGCCTTCCGCTCGCGAGAGTTTTTTGACATACGTCGGCATGACATCAGAGCCAGGCGGACCGTTCTCGGACACATTTCTAACCGGCATGCATCTCGCGCTGATCACCGGTGATCGATTCTGCGCAGAATTTGCTCATCTCAAACAAGCCTATTGTTTTGCTCATCGAATTAACGTTGAACCAACGTCAGACGCGTCATTTGTTCAAAACTAATGGAAAAATCAACTTGAAATCAACGTTGTTTCAATGTTATGAAAGCAAACCAATTTTCGATTTTCATTTAGCTTTGAAGAATGACGTTGACGTTGGCGTCTGACGTTGGTTCAACGTAAATTCGATGAGCAAAATCAACGTTGTTTCGATGTCATGAGAAACGTCGGTTCCACGTTGATTCAATGTCAGTTTGCTGTCTGGGTTATTACTTGTGATTCTGAAATGATGTCACTACATGCACTGTCTGCTCCTCTCCGCGGCGCTGGTAAATGTGTCCTCCAACTGAGCGTGGTCGGCAACGCGCGGTCATGTGTTTTGGGGGCGTGGCTTTGTAAGGAGCCCAGACGGGAGGGGGCGGGACTCGGGAGTAAATGAAATAATGAGCTGTGTTTATTGCAGCACTGAGAGGACTATAGACACTCGATTTGTATACCTTCTTTCCAGGGTACTTACATTTAATTATGTATTGTATAGACAGTTTAAACAAATTTGGGAAAAAAGTTTTTTTTTAAGAAAAATTCTATACCCCACCTTTAATATACAAAAGTTGGTGTTTTGAGGTGGAAATGACATGCCAGATACAAGTAGTTGTTATGCAATTGCGGCGTTTCAGCGTTGAATCTGTTTTTGCTGCACAGCTCACGCTCAATTAAAGTTAAAGGTGACCATAAAGGTGACCATTTTTGTAAAACCAGGACACTTGGCCAAGCAATGAGATATTCAAATGATACTTGAATTTCATTTAAAGATGCCTTATTCATTTTATACATTTAAAGTAGGCTATGGCTCTGTATGGATAGAAAATGATTACAAAATACTAGCCTATCTATAAGATCTGTGGCACCCCCATTGGACACCGAAACATGATGTGTCAGGTTTGCACACAGAGTACGCAGCCTCCCACTTGTCCTGATCGGGAGAGTGGGGAAATTCTTCTGTAACTCATTGGTAAATGTGCATTTGCGCTTCAGCATGTTGCAGGCAGAAGTGCTCGGACGGCTGTCTGCTCGCTCGTGAGTGTAAAGAGAGCCGCCACATGGCAGCCTCTCAGGTATTATGTCACATGTAGCATCGCAGGTGAAGATTGCTCTAGAGCCGGTCAATTTAATGACCCAGTGAAAACCAGGACATTTTCATCCTTTTCATCCAAAAAAACCCTGAAGTACCCGGAAAATATATATATATATGTTCTTTTAGTTTATTTAACACACAGACAGCTACATAGGCTAGCACAAGCCAAATCAAACCCTAGTGTGTGGTTTATATGTGTGTGTTTTTTATCCTTGGAGTTGCAGTCTTGTAAACATATCGAAAGTATGACTGAAACTAATAGATTGGAGCCATTTTCTGGGTTGTTTGTTTTGTATAACATTTACCCAAATGTTGTACACCTCCCGATTACAAACCTTCAAGACTATTAATGTTATAAATGACCAACTTCTAAAAACAAATGTATAGTTGTCTTTGTAAAGAACTGCTCGCTTACGTAGCTTTGGAGCTGCTGTTGTGACACTGTACAAACGCTTCCAGTGTGAATACTATAGAGCTGGTAAGTCCCACCCACCCGTAAAACTCCAAGCGGACCTCCAGATTAAAAAATGTGAATGAGAGAAAATAATTATTTTCTAATCGCGTTTGAATTGTGCCATGAATGTAACATATGTTGTCTGTGAATTTTTTATATAATTTCTCATGTTACGAGTTTGACACTATATTGTATGATTCTTTGGCTAGCAGTTGTGGAATAGACATAACGAGAAAGACTACACGTCACACGTGTGACGTCGCCGCATAACACATTTTCCCTCCACAAATCACGGTTTTCACCACGCTCAACTAGTTTGTCCTCTCCCTGAAAGAAGGCGGTGAAGTGCACCAAAGACACAGGCATATTTAGCGGAATCCGTGTGCGTTGTAGTCCACAAAGTGCTCTCACACAAAGTCTAACCGTATGAAAATTCTACCCTCTAAATTGTAGCATTCTTTACACGAAATATTATATAAAAAATTTGCAGACAACATATGTTACATTCATTGCAAAATTCAAACGGGATTACAAAATAATTATTTTCTCTCATTCACTTGCATTGACAATTTTTCAACAGCGGGTGCTAGCTGAAGGGGCGGGACTTACCAGCTCTATAGCCTGACTGCAGCTACAGTGACGATGTAAGTTACGCTGCTCAAGTGCCGCTCTTGCTTGTGGTGTGAAACGGCCGTAAGGCTGCATTGAAAGGTAACTTCAAGTCTGCTGCCATGTTGGATCTGGTAACAAACTGCTTCGGTGCATTTGTGACACATAGATGTTGTTATAGTCTTGCTGCTCCCTCCCCATTTTGTGATTGGTTACCTAGACGAGGCCAAAATTTGGTGCTCAATG